CCACCGGGCCGGCCCATTTTTGTGAGAATTTTATTTTGGGGGCTGTGCCACTTCTGGGTTTAAAGAAACAAAATATAAAAATGTGCTCCCCCCACCCTGGATGGCTTCGTCTTTTCCTTCCCCTGCCCTGTGTTGACCGCCCCCGCCAGGGCCTTCCGCCTGGTCGCAGACCTGGGTTTGGGGCGGGGCTCTCTGGTCACCACCCCCTCATGCGCTGTGGGTTTAGATCCAGTGTCCTGGCTCCTCTCTGTGCCCCCTCCGAGGAGCTCTGATGGTTGCGTTGGTGACGGTGCTGGGACTGTCATCCTAAGCGGACACGGGTGCAGAGTTCTGGGTGAAACGGGACTTGGTTCCCCCCTTGCAGGGCTCTACGCAGGCATCAAGTTTTTCCTCATCGACTTTATCTTTAAACGCTGCCCACGACTGCGAGCCAAGTACGACACGCCCTACATCATCTGGAAGAGCCTCCCCACCGACCCCCAGCTCAAGGAGCGCTCCAGCAGCGCCGCCGCCGTGTCGCGCAGGGTGAGTGGCCTCTGCTGGGGAGGGGCGCAGGAGGGGTCTCATTTGGAAGCCGCTATTTCTCAGATTTTACGGGACCCTTGAAATGAGTGACTTAGAGCCTTGTGAGGTTTTCCCCGTTACTGGGCACTGCTGTTCTTAAGGCCTGTTCGTCCTGTAAGCCCAGGGCTGCTGGGGAGGCGTGCGGTGCTTGGGGCTGGGCTGGGGCCCCCACTGCCTAGTGGCCACTGGGGACCCTGCTGCGGAGACTTGCTGGGAGCAGGGTATCACTGAGCCAGGTTGAGGGCAGCAGGGGGGCTGAGAGCCAGGGGCCCTGGGGACATGGGAGACCCGGAGACATGGGAGATGTGGGAGTGACGGCTGTGTGTGTGGGTGCCGCCCCCTGCTGACCGTGACTGTGAGGCTCAGGCATGGAGGCCAAGCAGCACCTGAGAAGGGCCCACCCCGTGCCCCAGGCTGGTACTGGGCCCACGTTTCACTTACGGTGGAAGACCCTGTGGGCAT